GTATTTTTTTCTCATTAATTTGAAATTTGCCAGCTGTAAATTTTATCAGTGAAAACCAAATTCGAATCTTGGATCCAGATATAGAAAATGTGATTTTAGATCATGGCCTAAGATTACGGTGATGTATAAAGCACCTACAGGCACAAACTGGAATCTTTATGGGCAAATTTTAGAAATAAAGTAGTAAATCTGTCTGTAATAATGGGCCAGCCTAGCAGAAAACAGGAGCACATGCTGTCGTTTGTAGACCAGTATCCTGTCACAACAATTTTGGAACATTTGGTTCATGTTCTGTCACACATTCTTAAGAGTAGTTATGCAATTGCCTCCAAGATGTTGGCTGTTTCAGACAAACTTTAAAGTTGGTGTCCCTTCTCTGCTCCGTACTGGGTGAAAGGAATCTATTTTTATGTGGCGGTGGTGGAGGGTGAGTAATACTGCTCCACAACAGCTTTAGTTTTAATCTTTTGAAACTTTTAAAGAATTTAGCTTTTAAAAAGTAAGACTCTCTTTATAAGGGGCAGGGGTTCCCTTTCACCTGTTTGCAGCACAAAGTAGAGGTTCAGGGTAGCCTCTGGAGCCAGCACCAAGCTCTACCGCTTGGATGCCTTTGGGCAAGTTACTTAACCTCTTTGTGCATCATTTTCTTTTCTTTTTCTTTTTTAATCCGCACCCGAGGATATTTTTACATTTATCTTCAGACAAGATGAAAGAGGGGGGGGGGGGGGAGAGAGAGAGAGGCATTGATGTGAGAGAGGCACATTGATTGATTGTGACCCACACGACACCCCAACCAGGGCAGGGGACAAACTGCAATCGAGGTACATGCCCTTGGCTGGAATCAAACCTGGGACTCTTTGGTCCTCAGGCCGACGCTCTAACCGCTGAGCCAAACCGGCTGGGGCTGTACATCATTTTCTAATCTGTAAAATTGAAACCGAGGGTCCTTATGACTTTGATTAAATTTAGCTTTAAATCCTAGCTCTAGAAATCACCTTTCTCTCTCTCTCTCTATCCCTCAGAGACCTAGCCTTCCCCATTCCCTTCATACTCAGCAACCGCTGAGGCAGCAGAAAGCAGTAGCCCAGGACCTGACTAATGGTCACCAGGTCTGGGCCCCTGGCAGGCTAAAGATAACATCTTGACCTAAGTTATGTTTTAGCTCCTGACCCCTACGGTGAACCGATCCCCTGCTACTTTCCCGTGAGACTGGACACCACAGCAAACCTCAGAGCTGTCCTCAAGACCTGAAGAAATGATTTATTACCTTACCTCACCTCTGACCAATCAGTTCCCAGCACAACCTTGAATCCTCAAATCCAAGGTAATTTGTGATTTTGTCCTACATAATCTGTGACCTGCGACCCTGGGGAGCTGTCTTTAGAGCATAATCTCCCGTCTCCGGATGGGCTAATTCAATATCAAACTCTATTTCTTTCTATACTACAAACTCCTGCATTTCTTTGGATCAATTGAGCAGGCAGACAGACTCTAACATTCGGGTCCTAGTAACAAAATGAGGATTTAATAAAATTATTCTAAGGATTTAATAAGTTAGAATTTGTAAAGAGCAAAGCATGTGCAAAGTACTGTCTGAGGACTTGTTAAAAAAGAAAAACAGCCCTGGCCGGTTTGGCTCAGCGGTGAGAGCATTGGCCTGCGGTCCAGAGAGACCCAGGTTCGGTTCCCGCTAAGGGCATGTACTTAGGTTGCAGTTTGTCCCTGGCCCTGGTTGGGTCGTGCGGGTGGCAGCCACTCGATGTGTCCCTTTCACGTCGATGTTTCTCTCTCTCTCCCTCCCACTCTATCTGAACGAGAAATAAAAAAAATATCCTCAGGTGAGGATTAAAATAAAATAAAATTGTTTAAAAAAAAAAAAGAAAAACAACTGAATAATTTTCTAGTGATATAGTCTCTCAGAAATCTGAGGTGTTTGCTTCGTAAGGACCATAAACAGGTTACAATGAATTTGCTCAGTTGTCTGCTAATCAACAAAATCTGGAGGCATGCCGGTATATATGAGTCATCATAAAGGAGCAGGTCCCTATCCATAGGAGGGGTGGTTCCTTGGGAGAAACACAGCCTCAATTAATCACTGAGGCTCTCTTCTGTCAAATACTTTTATACAAGTGAGATAAAGTGCACCTCTTTATTTAACCCACCACCTTGGATCAAAGGAAGCTTGTGTCTTACAGTACAGACACTGACTTGAACATAGTCCTATTTCATAAGAAACCAATGAAAAGACAGGATTCATCCTCTTAGGAATCAGTTAATAAAAGGTAGGGAAACTGTTTCTAGAGCCTCACTAGAGAACCAAAAATTTAACTTTATTTTAAATCTTTGTTCTATGCTTCAGGTATCTGGATTTCGGCAAATATCACATTATTAGTATAAAGATTTAAAGAGAAAATGTCTCTGTAGACATTGTTAGCTTTGTAAAAACTGACATAAATTCTCATTTTTCCATATCATTTACAGAAAGTAATTAAATAGCCCTGAGGTTTTTTTTTTATAATTATTTTTGTTACAGATGTTTCTCCTTTTCCCTCCACTGATTCCCCCCTCCTCCTCCCTCCCCGCCCTGTCCCCAGCTTTGTTGTCCATGTCCATTGTTCATGCATACATGCATATAAGTTCTGTAGTTTATCTCTCCCCCACCACCCCCTCTCCTGGGGATTGTCAGTCTGTACCCCACTTCCACGTCTCTGGGACAACCTCATTCCTCAGACTGTTATGTTCATTATATTCCACAAATAAGTGAGATCATATGATACTTGTCTTTCTCTGTTTGGCTTGTTTCACTTAGGATAATACTTTCCAGGTCCCTCCATGTCATCTCAAAGGATAAGAGATCTTTCTAACAGCTGCATAGTACTCCATTGTGTATATGTACCACAGCTTTTTTATCCATTCGTCTACTGATGGACATTTGGGCTGTTTCCAGATCTTAGCTATTGTAAATAGTGAAATAGCCCTGAGTTTTAAAGATGTTTTGAAAAAAAAAAAAAAAAAAAAAATCCTGGTCAACCAACCAGTCTTTCCTACCACCCCCACCCCATCCCCAACTTTTCATTTTGCCAGTATGTAAAAATTCTGCAGTATGTCCTGGTGGTTGAAGACTTGGGCTCAGAGCTAGATGGGTGTGGGTTTGAATACTGGCCCTTGCACTTATTAGCTATACTATCTATGGCAAGTTGTAAGGCCTCAGTCTATGTGCAGGTTTATGTATAGCCTTCCAGGGCTGTGAAAAGTAAATCTATTCACATATAGAGAGTGTTTAGGACTCTGCCTGGCACAGAGTAAATAATTGTTCAACAGATGTTGATAATTACACTATTGAGGACCTGGCCCCATTGTGAAGAGCCACTTCATCATTCTTTAAATACAGAACACTCCTAAATTATCTAGGACTTGGTTTTTTCCCCTCTCTTCTTCTACTGTGGCATTTCATTTAGAAATTAGAAAGCCTTAACATGATTGATACATTTAAATGTAGGATTAAATATTCACACCCAGTTCAAGTGTTCATGTCTGCACTTGAAACTAAAATGACAATTTTAGGCATGAATACTATGTAATTTGAGTCTGTGACAAATCTAACATCTTAAATCTAGAGAGACTATATCAAAGCTGTGGCCAACCACCTAGACTGTTGATTCCTTCAGGGTATTATGCTTACTATCTCCAAGGCCTAACTCAAGCCCCTCCCAGTAGATGCTCAGTATATATAGTTAAGGAAGGAATGTTTCCTTGAGAAGTCTTTTTCAGTAAATCCAGATGATCAGTGATGATTTGACCTTTGCGAAAATTTCTCCAGTTGGGTGATTCTCTAAGGTAGGGACAAAACAAAAAGGATGAGAAATACTTCCCCTTCTCTCAAAGTAGGGAAATCCAGCAACTTTCCGAACAATAATATAAGTCGTAATATAGGATACCTGCGCATTCCACTCGCCAACGTATCAAAAGTTTGGGTCATAACACTTTAAAACTGGAGCAGGTCTCCTAGGCCAAACTTCTCATTTTACAAAGGAGAAAAGAGACTTGGAGAGTTGAAGCCCTTTGTCCGAGGTCCCACAGCTAGTCTAAGGGTAGAGTCAGGACTGGAAGTCGGGTCTCTGAAACCTGTTAGCCCATGGTCATTTCACCGGCCTCTTAGTAAAAGTGTCCCGTGATTTAAACGCATCTTTTAAAAGAAAAACTAGGTTTGAACAAGAGTATCAAAGTGGTGTTCTGATTACTGCAGCCGTCAACTCTTGCAGGGTAGTTCACAGGGACATGTACTCAGGAAGATGTACGGCCGCCAGCAGGTTGGTTTATATCGCGCCAAACTTAGGACAGCGTCAGTTACGCAGATCTAGCTCCTTTATATGTATCAATTTCTTTAGCAAGCAAGGGGACCGGCTGGGTAATGCAGGAGGCAAGACCCCGCTGCGCCTATCATCAGAGCGCATCTTGAGATAACAAGTAGGACTGGAGGTGGGAAAAACAAACAGGGACACAATGAATGTGTGCAGGGGGCTAGAGCTAGGGAGTGGGCAAGAGGGTGCGATCAAATTACTGGAGGTTTTAGAATTTTTATATCAAGACGGAGGGAACAAAATAAAAACTCAACTCCTCCAGAAAGCCCTGGAAAGTCTGAAGGGCATAGTTTGAGGGAGCGAACCTCTGCAGCAGCTTGCATCCACGCACTTGTGCACCTCCCGTCTCAGTCTTCCTGGAGGAATGGGGCCCCCACCCGCCGCCCCAACCTGGGCGCGCAGCAGCCCGGCTGTTCCCGGTGTTCCTTCTCTTCCTCCCTCCTTGGTCCGAGGGAAACGCAGGCTCGCGCAGCGCTCGGGGCTCATCCATCAGTCCGGGAGGAAAAGGGGGAGGAGAGAGGAGGCGGGCGGCGGAGGAGGAGTTTCTCTGCGGCTCGGAGCCCTCCGTGGGGCCGGCGGAGGAGGAGCGCCCTTCCCCCCGCGCGCTGATTGCTGTGGCGTTCTGCCCGTCCCCGCCCGCGTGTGTGTGAGGGCTAGCGAGTGCGCTGGGTCGGCCCGATGGGGGTAATCGAGGGTTTCGGGGACGCCGAGCAGCGCTTTCCTCTTCCCAGTGAGTGAGGGAGGGAAGTCGGTGGCTGTCGTGCCCGGCCACTTTCCCTGCGTGATTCCCGGAGCTCTCTGCAGGCGGTGAAGGTCCCCGGCGGGTCCGGATGGCGTAGTTGCAGCGCGGCGCAGCAGCTGCAGGAGCTCGCGGCCGCCGAGTGCTGGGCGGGGAAACTTTCCTCTGCTTTCCTACCAACTTGCGGCGGGTGGATCTCCGCTTGACACACAGCCTCCGAGGTACGTGCCGGCTCGGCCCCGCGGCTCTGCAGCCCACGCCGGGCGCGCAGCTAGCCCAGCAGCACCCGTCCCGGCCGTGACCTGTGCAGGCTGCGCGGTGCCTGTTGGCTCTGCACGGGACTCCGTGCCTACTTCACGGCCGGCGTCGCTCTGGCCGCCCGGAATCCCAGGCTTGGAAGGGTAGCCTTGGCCCCGCGCGAGGAGCCAGGACCCGTGGCCGGCGGTGCGTGGGGAGCAGCCTCCTCGGGTGGGCAGCGCTCGGGCGATGCTCTGTCCTGGAGCAGACTTCTCCTCCACGCCCGCCCTCACTCTTCTCCGCTGTTTCTTCTGACTCCTGCGGGGCGCGCCGGCCACTTCCCACTGAGCGCGTGACAGCGTCGGTGGGAAAGGTTTGTTGTGGGTTTGCACTCAGTTGCCGCGGCAGAGGCTGCGCTCCTCGCCGGCCGCACCCTCGGGGTGCTCGCAGTGTGGGCGGCGCGGAGCCCTGCAGCCCCGAGCCTCAGCGGGGAACGCGCCCCCCGCCTCCTGGTAACTTATTAGCTGCCTTTCCCAGTTTATTTTGAAGGCTTTTCTTGCTCATTTGGTTAGAACAAGCTTGGAAATCTCCGACTGTGGTTAGGAGAATCAGCTTGCAGTCTTGTTCTTATTAGGACATTTGCCCCACTTTCCATCACTTAGTGTAGGGAACCGGCTTGTCAAACGTGAATTACCTTGGCAGAGCAGAACTTGATGGATTTAGAGTCTACAAAAAAAGTTAAGAGAAGAAAATCGCTCCATTTCCTTAGCTGTGAAATGGGAATTATAATAGAACTGGCCTCCTAGGGTTGCTGTGTTAGTGTTGCGTGTCCTGAGCCCAGAGGTGACAGAAGAGCGAAGAGGGTAGGGGGATGGTAGGAGTGCAAGACTGAGATGGGAAACCAAGCATTTGCCGAACTCCATCTGCAAGAGAAGTAAGCGAGCGGTTAGGGAGGATGGAAGTCTCTATAGGTAGCAAAGCACATGTCAAGACCTTTTAATTTTTCTGAAACGGTACTTTAACCTGCAGTTACTTCAGTGTGAAATTAGCAATTTCTTTTGCGTAATAATCATAGCTAACGTTAATGAGTCCAAACTCTGTGCCAGACACTTTCTTAAATGCCTTAACGACACAGTTGCACTTAATCACCAACTAATAAAAACATTAATAGCCCCATTTTACAGATAAGACAGTAGAGGTTAGTTACTTGCTCGAATTCCTATGCAACTCTCTGAGTTCTGACTCCAGAGTTAGCCTAGTCACTCAGCAGAGAGCAGCAAATGCAGCCAGATTTGTATACAGTGAGTCCAGGCACCCTCTCCCATTGTTTAGTTTCCCATTTGAGTTGAACATATATCCCTTAAAACACAAATAAGGTATCTGTGATTAATTTAGATGATATACTTATAGGGGTGCCAAATCAGAGCTCCTTTGAAACTGGCTCCAAGTAATTATATATAGAACTATGATTTGTGTTAATGAATATGGATCTTTATTCTTAATTTCTTTTATTAATTCTCCAGACATTGTTAGTCAGCATTACTTGTCTTCCCTAGGAAACAGCTTGGGGTTGGCACAAGAGGCAGGGAAATAATTCTTATCCCCTTAAGGGCTATTAAAATGAAATTGATTTCATGCCATTGTGTCAGTTAAAGGATGTTGCTCTGTTTCTTGGTGTTCTCTGCTTTTGGCTTTAATTCTGCATTGTTTAGTGTTTCAAGGCTTCAGCATATTTTTTGCTTTTCAGTTTGTCTTTCTCATTTGTCAACTTTAATTTTTCCTGTTTTGATGGAATCTGACCCTTACATGGCAGCTTTGCTTAACAACTGTTGATCCAACTCATGTTTTTAAATATAAAAGTCACCAACTTACTTTTGAACCCCAGCACTTCAAAGGCAACCCCTGGGGAATTCATTGTTATTTTGAGTGTTAGCCAACAGGGGGAGCATAACACACTATTGATGTCTAGTAGGCCTGTAAACCAGTTTGTAGGTAGTAAGCATACATTTCAGAAATGAAAAATGTTTTGAATTTATCTACCAAAATAACCAAGTTGCTTTCTGAGTTTATAATGGAGAACTATGTTTAATTTAAACTGATGACAATGAGAATGACCTTCAGGATAAGGCCTATATGTCAACTCCAGTGCCTGGACAGACATTAAATACACATGTAGTTTTTTCCCATTGTTTTCCTTAAGAGGTAATTGTAAAGTAATTTTCTGTACTTAAAAAAATTGTTTTTTGCCCTGGTCGGTTTGGCTCAGCAGTTAGAGTGTTGGCCCGCGGACCAGAGAGTCCCGGGTTCGGTTCCCACTGGGGGCGTGTACCTTGGTTTGGGTTTGTCCCCAGCCCTGGTTGGGGTCATGTGGGTGGTGGCCACTTGATGTGTCTCTCTCACATTGATATTTCTCTCTCTCTTCCTCCCTCTCTCCTTCCTACCTGAAGATAAATGCAAGAGTGTCATCGGGTAAGGATAAAAAAACAACAACACACACACACACAAATATTGTTTTTCTTTATTGATTTTAGAGAGAGGGGAAGGAGGAGGGAGAGAGAGATGGAAGCATCAATGAGAGAGAACATCAATTGGCCACTTCCTGCATGCCCCGCACTGGAAATTTGGCCCACAACCTGGGCTCGTGCCCTGACAGGGAATCGAATCGCCGACCTATTTGTGCATGAGTTGATGTTCAGCCACAGAGTCACACCAGCCAGGCAGTTTTGTGTATTTAGAATAATATTTCAAGTTATTTAGGAGAACTGGGAGTCCAGAGAGATCCATTGTGAATCTTTTTGTAATGATCCTCATTTGTCTTCTGTAGAAAACTACATGTAGTGCATTTGTTCTCAGGGAGGTTGGTGCACTCACAATCCTATCATTACAAGCTTTCATTAACATCTTCCAAGTGCAAGACAATAAGGGATTGTTATCCTAACAGCATTTCTATTACTGTGCGTTCTTCAGAAGCTTATATTTTAGCATAGTAATAATTCAGAAGTATCATATTTGTCTAGTATAGGAGTGATGTGTCTGTAGACACTCATACCTGTAAGTATAATATAAATAACATTTAAGAATTAACATGTTTGGAAAACAGTCAAACTGACTTTTAATATTTATTTATTTATTTATTTATTTATTTATTTATTTATTTATTTATTTATTTTTATCCTCACCCGAGGACATTTTTCTTTGTTTTGTTCAGACAGAGTGGGAGGGAGAGACAGAGAGAGAAGCATCGACGTGAAAGAGACACATGAGTGGTTGCCATCCGCACGACCCAACCAGGGCCAGGGACAAACTGCAACCGAGGTACATGCCCTTAGCGGGTCTCTCTGGACCGCAGGCTGACGCTCTAACCGCTGAGCAAAACCGGCCAGGGTCAAACTGACTTTTTAAAAAGGTTTTCGATCTTTGCAGTTTTGTAGGCCAGTTTCCTTTCTTATTTCTTGTGCATCAGGTATTATTGCTTTAACTTTATTTCATTTACCAAGTTAGGGTCAAGGGGATCTTATTTTATTTTTTTATCCTCATCCGAGGACATTTTTCCATTTTTTGTTCAGATAGAGTGGGAGAGAGAGAGAGGAAGAGAGAGAAATATCGACATGAAAGGGACACATCGAGTGGCTGACACCCGCATGACCAACCCGGGCCGGGGACAAACTGCAACCGAGGTACATGCCCTTAGCGGGAATCGAACCCAGGTCTCTCCGGACTGCAGGCCGACATTCTAACCACTGAGCCAAACCAGCCAGGGCAAGGGGATCTTATTTTAAATAACTTTCAAATTTATTTTATTTTATTTTATTTATTTATTTATTATTTTGTAATCCTCACCTGAGGATATTTTTCCATTTATCTTCAGATAGAGTGGGTGGGGGGAGGGGAGAGAAACATCCATGTGAGAGAGACACATCCACTGGTTGTCTCTCGTACAACCTGGACCAGGGCTGGGGATCGAACCTCAAATGAGGTACGTGCCTTTGATTGGAATCAAACCCTTCACCCTTAGGTCCATGGCATTGTCGAGCAGAACTGGCCAGGGCTAGTTCCTTCTTTTTTGTTTTTAATCCTCACTCGAGGACATTTTTGCATTTATCCTCAGACAGAGCGGGAGGGAGAGAGGGAGGTAGAGAGAGAGAAACATCGATGTGAGAGAGACACATCAACTGGTCACCACCCACACGACCCCAACTGGGGCCGGGGACAAACTGCAACCGAGGCATGTGCCCTTAGCAGGTACTGAACCCGGGCCTCTCTGGTCTGTGGGCCGACGCTCCAACCGCTGAGCCAAACCAGCCAGGACTAGTTCCTTCTTTTTAAATCTCAGCAGTGCCCTTACGTTTTAAAGTAGCATTTTATTTAGGATCTTATTTAGGATTTAGTCTTCTATGCTGTCATCCAGTTTACTCATTCAACAAACATTTATCAAACCCCAACTCCCTAATAGGCTTATGGTTCCTGGTCTTAGAGTTTGGCAAATTAGTTGTCCTTTTTTATTTTATTTTATTTTATTTTTTATCCTCACCCGAGGACATTTTTCCTTTTTTTTTTTTTGTTCAGGTAGAGTAGGAGGGAGAGAGAGGAACAGAGAGAGAGAAACATCGATGTGAAAGGAACACATCGAGTGGTTGCCACCCGCATGACCGACCAGGGCCGGGGACAAACTGCAACCAAGGTACATGCCCTTAGCGGGAACCGAACCCGGGTCTCTCAGGACCGCAGGCCGACGCTCTAACCGCTGAGCCAAACCGGCCAGGGCTTAGTTGTCCTTTTTTAAGCCTCTGATAGCAGGGGGCCAAGATGCCTTAAGGCTTCCTGGGGCTTTGTGGTGGAAAGCCTTTATAGATTGACAGAAATGGTTTGTTTAAAGAAAAGTATTGTCCTATTCTTTTTTAAGGCTCAGAGGAATTAATCTTTCCCTTTTGCGTGCAAACTTGGTTGTATCTTGTAAAAATCAGGTGACAGCTGGCTTTTCTGA